CTGGGGATAAATATTAAAAATATACATATATAGGCAAAGATGGGATTTGATTTTATATTTTGCTTGTATCTCACTGTTAGTGAAATTCAACATTTGTTCCTATGTGTATTGATCACGTGTATTTCTTATTTTTAAAACTGACTTTTAGTATTGCCTAGTCTTCCCCTGGGTTGGTTACTAGTCTTTTTCTTATTGATTCAAAAAAGTACTTTATATACTAAGAATACTGTCCTTTTTCATAGATCTTGTAACGATCTCCCCTCAATTTGTTGTCTTTGAATTTTATTTTACATTTTTTAGCCATATAAAAGACTTTAAAATATATCCAGTCAGATTATATCAATCTTCCCCTTCATGCCATTCACTGTTAACAGTTTGGTATGTATTTTTCCAGACATTTTCTGTGCATATGGAGATATATCTATAAATATATATATATATAGCTAGATATATAAAGTTTCCTGCACATTTAAGATGTCATACACACTGCTCTGAAACTTGCTTATTTCACATTAGTAATATAAAGATCTCACTCCAATAGCATATTCTGTTCCATGAATTCAATGTTCTGTTATTCAACCAGCTTTCAGAGGTGGTCTTTTTCCACTTTCATTTTTAATTTCTACAGTTTTCTGATGTCTGAAAGAAATAGAACCCTCGATTTATCTAGTCCATATAACAAGCCAATTAACCCTGAGCTGGTTAATTTTAGCCGTTAAATTGACACAACATAAAACCACCCAAGAAGAGAGTTTCAGTGAGGAATTGTTGGTCTACGGGGGATGATCTTGACTGATAACTGAGGTGGGAGGACCCAGTCTGAATAGGGGTGGCGCCATTCCATGATCTGGCCCTTGACTGTGTAAGGGAGTGAACAGGTATCTTAGCAGAAGTAGTAAGCAGGGATGGCTGTATTCTCTCTGTGCTCTTGACTGCAGATGTGATGTGACTTGCAGCTTGAGTTCCTTAACCTGGACTTCCCCAAAATGACGACTGTAACCTGAAATTGTAAGCCAAATAAATCCTTTCATCCCTTATGCTGCTTTTGGTTAGGGTGTTTTATCAATGCAATGATGACATCACCATAGCATTTATATATTTTTAATTTGTTTTTGGTTTTGTTTTTCTGAGATAAGGCCTTGCTTTGTAGCCTTGGCTAGAACTCACTGTATAGACCAAGTTGGCCTTGAACTCATAGAGATCTGCTTTCCTCTGACTCTCCAGTGCTGGGATTAAAGGTGTACACCACCACACCTGACACCCCATAGCATTAATAATAATATACCACCCTCACCCTTCCGACTTGATGCAACTCTGTCACATATTAAATATCATATGTTGAAAAGCACTATCACACATTAATATACATACGTTGAAACTCAAGTTTCTCACCAGATTTTCTATTGTGTTTCTTGTACCTGTCTTTCAATGCCACATTGTTCTAATGATTTTAGCTTTGTAATATATTTTTATGTCTTCAAAGTCAATATCTTCTCCTATTCCATCTCTTCCAGTGCTGCCTTTGATAATTTTTTCTTTTAATTGCTTGTTTCTTGAATTTAATTATGAGTTCGAGAATCATGTGTGAAATTTGCAAAATATTTACTTAAGATTTTAGTTAGAACTATGGTTATACTAATGAATTAAAGCCTTTTTGAAGTTTTTGTAAAATATTTATTTCAGTTTAAAAGCAGAATCTCCAACTAGTCAGTTTTGTGTGTGTGTGTGTGTGCGTGTGTGTGTGTGTTTTAAGAAATCATACACTCTTTTAGCATGTTTATTCTGAGACAGTTTAGATTTTTGCTACAACTGTAAATGGGGTTTTAAAGTATATTTTATTACTATTGTATATAGAAACGTAATGGTTCTGTGTATTTTGGTATCAGCACACTTTACTGTTTTATTAGTTCAGTTATTTTCAGGGTTTCTGAAAAGGGATTCTCATCTAGACAATTGTGTCATTTGAAGAAAAAAAGGAAAAGGGGAAGGTTTAGTGGGTTTATTTCTTCTTTCACTGTGCTTGTACCTTGTCTTTTGTTTGTTTTCCTTATTGCTTAGCTAAAACCAGTTCTGGAATGCATCAAACAGGCAGGCTCCGCCTTCCGGAACTCCACTGGGATCACACACACACTCCTGTGTTTTCCTCTTTTTATCTTATCTCACTGAGTCCTTGGAGACTTGCTTGAGTTTATCCTTGAATTCTCAGATGTAGTTTCCTGTAGTGTCTAATATGTGGCTCATTGTTCCTTTCAGATTTTAACACTCTGCAATCAGTGCTTTTATCTCTGTCTTATCTTCAGAAAGTAAAGTGTGGTCCCCGATGCTGCATCCACGGTCTCTTTGGATCCACATCTCCCCCGTGCCACACTGGCCCCATCTCAGTCCTCTTCAGCTCCACAGCTCTGTGGCTCCCCGATTCTCTCCTAACACTCTTCAGCTCTCTTGTCTCCACACTCCTTTGAGTTCCTGGGTTCTTCTTCTGGTTCTCCACGAGTTGTCCCTGGATGGTCTTTGAGATGTCCAGACAGATGCTAATTTTCCAAGTCTTGGGAAACACATGAAAAGGCCATCTCTGCCTGTTTCTTCCAATGACTCGCTCACCAGCTATATTGCTGGTTTTGTGTGTCAACTTGACACAAGCTAGAGTCATCAGAGAGGAAGGAGCCTCAGTTGAGGAACGGCCTCCATCAGATCCAGCTGTAAGGCGTTTTCTCAATGGGGGAGGACCCAGCCCCTGGTGGGTGGTGCCATCCCTGGGCTGGTGGTCCTGGGTTCTATAAGAAAGTAGTCTGAGCAAGTCAGTAATCAGCACCCCTCCATGGTCTCCGAATCAACTTGCTTTTTGGTCATGGTGGTTTTTTTTGTTTGTTTGGTTTTGGTTTTGGTTTCAGCAATGGAAACCCTAAGACACCAGCGCATTGTCTCCCAGCTCAGCTCCGCACGGTCTACTGAGGAGAGAATTGCAAACTCCCTCTAGACTTCTCCTTCTCTAAGCAGCCCCGTGTCTTTGCACAGGCTATTTGCGTTACCTAGAGAGAGATTTTTCTGATCCTTCACCTGCTCATCCTCGGAGACCAAGCTCAAACCCGTGTTCCCAAGGTAGAAAAAGTCAGGCCGTCCTCTTCTGCATGCCCCCAGAGCTTCATAAATGCTCCTCTGTTGGAGTGCTTGGAACACTGGGGAGCAGTTATGTGTGCGTCTGGGTCAGGAGGAGGGCCAAGACGCCTGTACCCCTCTCCAACCATTACTTTCTTGCTCCTTTCTTCCGGTAGATCACCGGCCTAAGTCTCCATCCAAGTTAAGCCTAATTACCACAGTTAACTAGCTTGCCACTGTGGAATAGAATCCTATTCTCCTCCCTACCCCCAAATTACCCATAATTCCTCCCTCCTAATAATCTTGCCTCTAAGTCACAAAAAGCCGTGACACGGACACCATGCCTCCTTTATGTGGCGCTTCCTGCATGCTAGGCCAGGACTCTACCAAATGCTCCACACTCCCTTTCTCGGGACACACCTTTCTCCAGGTCTCCCCTGCCTCCGTGGCCTCGGTCTCCTTTGCCAGGTTCTGCCTTCTTCTCGGTGTTAGCATGCTCCAGAGCTCAGTCGTGGGCCCTCTTCTCTCCCCTGGGTCCACTTTCTGTGTTGCGCGCTTACGGACTCCATGTCTGTGGCTCGCAGGTGTTTCTGTTCATCTGGCTCTATGATTATCCTTGACCTCGGGATTCTGAGGCGCGGACTTAGATTGTCTTCTAGCCCACCTTTCACGCTTACCAGATCTGAAACAAGAAGCCAGTGTTCTCTGTTCTCTGCTCCTACTCTCTATTGCGTTCATCGGCCCAGTCGCTGGCCACGCACGCATGGGGGCCCACACGCGTAATCCCAACACTCCGTGGCAAGAGCAGGAGGAATGTGAGTTCAAAGTCAGCTCGGGCTGCACAGTAAGACCCCGCCATCTCAAAGACAGAACAAAACAAACAAAATGGCCAGGTGCTCAAGCCAAAATGAAAACCAGAAGTCACTCCCCATTTTCGTTGTCCACGTCCCCCTCTCTGCTCTGCTATCCAATCCATCAGTCAGGCTTGTTGAGTCTAACCGAAAATGCTTCTCTAAGCCACCTATTGGTTTCTGGTTCCATCTTTACCATTGTCATCCAAGATATCATCACCCTTTCCTATCCTCCTGCTACCTCTTAAGTCTCCTGCTTACCACTTGCTCTCTATCGGCAGTCCGCACGATCTTCCAAAAAAGTTAAAAAAAAAAAAAAAAAAAAAGGCGCAGCACTATCCTAAGTGACCCTGCTGTATCCCAGATCCTCTCTCTCTCTCTCTCTCTCTCTCTCTCTCTCTCTCTCTCTCCCCTGGCATTGCCTTTGTCTCCTCAGCCCACCCTGTCACGCTTTCAACAGAGCACTGGTCACAACTGGGTATGTCCTTTCCTATGTGTCCATTCTTATTATCCATGTCTTAAAACAAAACTCTTCCGGGCAGGTGGGTCTCACTATGTCATGTTCTGATAGCTGGAGCAGTCTCCAGCACACGGGGGTTCAGCTAGTGTCTGTTGAAGGGATGGCCATGCCCCAGTGGCTCTGACATGGAGCAAGCCCCCACTGATCCATTGGATGAACAGTACCTGCAAGTGTGCCGGAAGTTTGCTCCTGGAGGGCAAACACCCTGCTGGTGGGCTTTTATGGTCTCCTCCATGGTACCTGGCAGTGGAGGCATGGACTCTCATCGCCCAGGTATTTAGTAAAATCTTGTTAGATTTACGTCTTCATCAAGGCCAAGAGTCCTTAACGACTATTTCATAGACTTCATTTTTTTTTCTTAGAATGAGCATGCAGCATGAGGAAAATGCCATGAGAACAAGAACGAAGCAGGGAGAGTGGGGTGGGCACTGGCTGCATTCTCAGCTGGACAGTGGGTAGAGTCTTCCCCTTTGGTATTCTCCTACCGAGTGCCAGTCGCGATGTTACATTACTTCTTGATGCATGTGTTACAGGGTTCATACTACGTGCTGGTGATGGTGGATCCAGATGCCCCCAGCAGGGCAGACCCCCAGATGAAATACTGGAGACACTGGCTGGTGGCCAACATCCAAGTAAGGAGCCCAACGGGTGTTTTCAGAAGTGTTTGGAACTGTAGCTGAGGTCATCATCCTGTATGGTTTCTTAGCACTCACCTGAGAGGGCTGGAGATGAGGGTGAGCAAGGCTTTCTGGGTCAGATGCCCAAGTGTTCTAAGAACGCCAAAAACACATCTAAACATGAGCTGTGGTGGGCTAGAGAACAAGGTCTCAGAATAGGAGCAGGAGAAAACTCCAATTCCGTGCGTTTGCTGTTCTTTGTGGTAGAAGTCTCTTCTCTGGTACCAACTTCAAGGTATTGAAGACTGAAGAACTGACTCACAAAAGACTTCTGGAAGTCTAAGAGTTGCCACAAGCCCATCACTGTGGATTTGGTGGGGGGAGATGGTCTCCAGTTTGGTTGGCAGGGGCTGGGGGATCATGTGACGGGCCATCCTACTGCTGTATGAGGAGCACAAAGGAATACAGAGAGAGCAGCTGCTAGCAAGTTGGTTTCATGAGAGCTGGGGAGAAGCCTAGCTTGTGTTTTTCAGAGTATGTCTGAGGAACACACTCTACCAACACAAGTGTTAGATCTTCTGGCCTGAACCGATTTCATCTCGTGTCTCATCAAGTGGCCTTTTAGAGATACTGCTATCCTAATAGACATCACAGTCACCCTTCAGTACCCTCAGGAACCCCCATGAGTCTGTTATATAAAATAGTGTTTGAATCAAGCCTATGCACATCTTCTCATATACTCCAAATCATCTCTAGCTGATTATCACACCTAATACAATGTAAACGCTGCATAGATAGCTTGTACTGTATTGTTTAGGGAATTGATGATGGCGGTGGTGGTGGTGGTGGGGGGATGTCCGCACTTGCTCACAGATGTAATCTCTCTGTGAATTTTTTTTTCAATCTGCTTTTGGTTGAATTTGAGGATGTAGAACCCACAGAGAACAGAGGCCCAACTGTATGTAACTCACAGTTGTTTCCCAATCCTGTTCAATTATGGAATCTCATATTCGTGAGTGGCCTGGCAGCTATACTTTGCAGAAATCCACACTAGCCTGTAGCCTTTGGACTCCGTGCCCAGACAACCTACAAGCGGCTTTTGCAAAGAATGTGCCCTGTAAGATAAGAGAAACTAGCAAAATGAAATTTGAATGTGTTGTGCATTAAGAGCTGGTTTCCTAGCTCAGAGACCAGACATTCTCTGTTTCTCTGCAACATGTGAACCGCATTCTTGACTTTGAAGGGTCATCCTGAGGATCCCATGAAGAACACTCTAGAAAATGTAGAGAATACCACAGACACAAAGGCTAGTGTCCTGAGAGCCAGAGGCAGAAGCAGGGACATCGGTCTAACTAGCCATTGACTCCTGACAAGGGGAGACTCTCACACCAGAGTGGGCAGGAAAGGGAGAGTTACCCTGGCAACCAACCCATGTCCCAGCACCAGAACCCTTCCTAGGAAGTTTAGGAGGACAGCCCTCTTTAGAAACAGCCTAGCTGGAGCCCAGGTGGAGTTTCCTTTTTTTTTTTTTTTTTTTTTTTTTTTTTTTTTTTTTTTGGTTTTTCGAGACAGGGTTTCTCTGTGTAGCTTTGCGCCTTTCCTGGAACTCACTTGGTAGCCCAGGCTGGCCTCGAACTCACAGAGATCCGCCTGGCTCTGCCTCCCGAGTGCTGGGATTAAAGGCGTGCGCCACCACCGCCCGGTGCAGGTGGAGTTTCTTAAGCAGTGGTCTACTGCGGGAGCTCTTAGCAATTAGCAAAGGGACAGTGTTGAGTGTTGAGGGAGAGTCTTGGTGTAGGGCAGGGATGGCAGCAGAGGGCACAAAAGATGGGCAGCTTGTCAGATTGGCCTCCATCCAGAGCACTGTCGTTTTCCAGACTCAGGGAAAGTTCATGGGGTGGGAGCTCAAGGGAGGAATTTTCCAGGTCACACTCATAGACACCCCCCACTATACACACACACACACACACACACACACACACACACACACACACAGAGAGAGAGAGAGAGAGAGAGAGAGAGAGAGAGAGGAGAGAGAGAGACAGACAGACAGACAGACAGACAGACAGACAGACAGACAGTGAGAGTGTTCCACTCAGGATTCTCAGGCCGGGAGGGAAAAGCCATGTGGGCAGAGTGGTTTCCCAGTTGAGGAGTCCGTGGGGCTGTGACAGAGCCTCCAGCGATGTCTGACACCCCCTCCCACCCACTCCCGTCACCCTGATACTCACTCAGGACGTCTCCCTCACACCAGCTCTGTGCTGTGAACAAGGACTTAGCCCCAGAAGCCCTGCTCAGAGACACAGCAGGTGGCAGGTGGCAGGTGGCAGCTGCCAGGCAAACCTGCTAAGCCACAGAGCTTAACCAAAGCCACCTGCCAGGGCATGACCCTCACTTCCCGTGTGCCCAGAAGAGGCTCAGGTTCCAGTCACATTGCCACCCACTTTCCCTCTTCTGGGTGCCCGGCAGGAAGCTGCGGCTTTCCCTGATGGAGTCACTCGGCCCTGCCACCTGCCCCCAGGTTCTTCTAGCCAGAGAGATGGCATGAGCCAAGTGGATTCAGGTCTCAGGTCCCAAAGCCCAGTTGAAGGAAGAAGGGTGGAGGGTAGGGGTTTTGGCTAAGCTAGGAGCCTGTCCTCTAAGTTAGAGCTCACACAGAAGAAGGGCAGGCTGATACCATGAAGAAATGTAAGTTCTTGAGCCCACCTCTCCACAGAACTCCACAAACTTGGGTGGGGAGGGGCCCATTACCTGGCAACTGGCTCGCCTCCAGGTACCAAGACCCTCTCAGGAAGTTCAAGGGGACAGAGGCAGCCTGGTCACGGCCCTGATGAAGTCTTGGGCAGTAACCAAGCGTGCCTCCAAGGTACTGCCCAGTTCCCTGGCCATGCTGTGCAAGAGCTTTGCAGACACACAAAGAATATAGCTTCCACCTTGACCAAGTACTCCAAGAGGACTTCTCAGGTCGGGGAGGCTGCACTGCTCAGGGCTGGGATGGCGAATGACGTCACCCTTTTGTGGGGCTGTTTTCTTTTCTTTTCTTTTTAAATTATGTACGTTGGTGTTTTGCCTGCATGACTTTTGTGTGAGGGTATTGGGTCCCCTGGAACTAGAGTTACAGACAGTTGTGAACCGCCATGACTTGAACTCAGGTCCTCTGGAAGAGCAGCCAGTGTTTCTTAACTGCTGAGCCATCTCCCCAGCCCATGAGGCCGTTTTCAAAGAAAAGCGTTTTGGGAACTGTTGAAACTTTAATCGCTTTGTGAGCTGGCATTGCCCCATGAAATGATGGGAAAGCAGGGGCTAGAGAGTTTCAGTGACAACCCCTGCTAGCAGTAGTAGTAGTAGACTATAGCGACAGGTATTGGATGTGTGTCCCAGACTCTAAACCATTCATACCGTGCTACGCCATTGTGGGGTCCCACCATGTCCATCATTCCCCAATCTGTTCCACTGTGTCCAGGGACCACCATGCCCCCTCTAGAAGATGAAAACCTTCTCTGTCCCCGTTGCCATGACTCGAGCTCACTCCTGGATGGGTAGAGGCTTCCAGGGCACACTGCCCAGGGAATGCTGCCTTGGCATATAAAGCATACCTGGTTTGTGTTTTTAGACCCCATAAAACTACGCCCCAATAAACCACCATTACCCAAACACCCTCAGCAGTAAGCCATGTAGGAAAGTCATTGCAAACAGAGTAACAATGGCCCTGTGATTCCCAATGGCCACAGAGAGAAACTTGGAGGAACTCAAGCTAGCCTTAATATCAAGCAACCAGATATAACTGGACATCAGGCCAGGGGTATGGCCACGGAAGCCCTTCATTGGAGACCATGTTTCCAGAGGCTATCCAGACCAGAACAGGAACATGGGGGAACATCTGTAGCTGCCCCCCCCCCCCCACACACACACTCCATCTTAACGACAGGCTCACAGGGTCTAGATAGAACAGGATAAGGTTCTAGGCATGTGGGCATCTTGAAGAGTAGGAGGTAGAAAGAGGCCCAGACATAGGACCAGTTCTTGTGTAATGGTTAAGATCAGTGACTCTGGAGTCAGACAGTTCTGGTTCAAATCCCAAACCCACCATCACTGGCTGTGTGATCTTGGGCTAGTTGCTCGGCTTCTTTGGGTCTTGATGTACTCATTTGTAAAGTGGAAATATTTGTAGCCTCTGTCTCACACTGTTGAAATGTTTATCTAGGTTATTTCAGGGAAAATGCTTAGAGCAAAACCCGACAGCACAGAGCCGGCTTTAAACAGTTGGGTGCTATGCTGCTGTTGCCCTTGCTCCGAGCCAAGTACCTCTTGAGCTCCAGAATCACAAATGCAAATGAAATCCAGGAAGGTGATGTCTCACACAGGGGAGGTATGAGGGTCCAGGGGCAGGCTTGGGTGGAACTTCCTTCACCTGCTGGTTCCCATGGGCTCAGCAACAAGACTAGGCGGAAGCTCCCCACCCCTCACCCACCCCCGGCCCCCAACCTGGCCATGCCAAGGAATGCAGGGAGGCAGACATAACACACAGGAGGTGCTCCTTGGCCCCCCCTCTGAAACTCTGTCACTGAGTGAAAGAGATTCCTAATCAAAGCCAGACATGGTGACACACACCTGTGACCCCAGTACTCCAGAAGCCGAAGCAGGAGGACCTGGAGTTCTAGGCTAGCTGGGCCTGTGTACTGAGATGCTGCCCTAAAACACCAACAGAGGGACTTCATCCCTAGCAGCACACAGTGGGGTAGCATCCTCCCTCCCCGGTCCTCCTAGGAGCACACAGTGGGGTAGCATCCTCCTCCCCGGTACCATGTCCTCAGGTTTCTTTACAGATGCTTTTCGGTTCTGCTAAGGCCCAGTTGAGGTATCAATTAGGTCTGCATCACTCACTCCGGGAGAAGGGTTTATTGGCTCCTTGTCTTATTTGTCTCTGAAATTAGTGCTCAGAGCTTTTCATGCAGATATTTTCATTAGGCTCTTTTTTTTTATTGTTAATGGGAATATTAAACACAGGAAGATGG